GACATACCAGAAACTGGAGCAGGCGTCCCCAAACTACGGCCCGCGGGCCTCATGCGGCCCCCTGAGGTCATTTATCCGGCCCCCTGCTGCACTTCAGGAAGGGGCACCTCTTTCATTGGTGGTCAGTGAGAGGAGCACAGTATGTGGCGGCCCTCCAACGGTCTGAGGGACAGTGAACTGGCCCCCTGTGTAAAAAGTTTGGGGACGCCTGCTGGAGAAAAAAAGAGGTTTAACTGGACTTACTGCTCCACATGGCAGGGGAAGCCTCAGAATCACGGTGGGAGCTGAAAGGCACGTCTTAAATGATGGCAGCAAGAGAAAAATGAGGAAGCAGCAGAAGTGGAAACCCCTGAAAAACCTATCAGATCTCGTGAGACTAATTCACTATCATGAGAATGGTTAACTCCTGCCTCCCCATAGTTCAATTACTTCCTGCTGGGTGGAATTCTTGACGATACAACATGTGGGAATTCTTGGAGATAAAATTCAAGTTGAGATTTGGGTGGAGACACAGCCAAACCATATAATTTCACCCCTGGCCCTTCCAAATCTCACGTCTTCACTTTTCCAAACCAATCATGCCTTCCCAACTGTCACCCAAAGTCTTATCTCATTTCAGCATTAACCCAAAAGTCCACAGTCCAAAGTTCCACATGAGACAAGGCAAGTCCCTTCCGCCTATGAGCCTGTAAAATCAAAAGCATTACTTCCTAGATACAAAGGGGGTACACACATTGGGTAAATAGAGTCAATCCAAATGGGAGATATTGGCCAATAAAAGGAGTTACAGGGACCATGCAAGTCCAAAATCCAGTGGGGCAAATTTTAAAGCTTCAAAATGATCTCCTTTGACTCCAGGTCTCACATCTAGGTTACACTGATGCAAGAGGTGGGTTCCCATGATCTGGGGGAGTTCTGCCTCTGTGGCTTTGCAGGATACAGCCTTCCTCCTGGTTTCTTTCATGGCTGGTGTTGAGCATCTTCAGCTTTTCCAGGTTCATGATGCAAGCTGTCAGTGGATCTACTATTCTGGGATCTGGAGGATCATGGCTCTCTTCTCACAGCACCACTAGGAGATGCCCAAGTGGGGACTCTGTGGGGGGACTCAGACCCCACACTTCCCTTCTGCACTGCCCTAGTAGAGGTTCTCCATGAGGGCCCCACCCTGCAGCTTTTGCCCGAGTGTCCAGGCATTTCCGTACATCTTCTGAAATCTCCACGGAGGTTCCCAAACCTCAATTCTTGACTTCCGTGCACCCATAGGCTCAACACCATGTGGAAGCTGCCAAGGTTGGGGCTTCCACCCTCTGAAACCACAGCCTGAGCTGTACATGGCCCCTTTCAGCCACAGCTGGAGTGGCAGGGACACAGCCACTGCACATAGCATGGAACCCTGGAGCCTAGGCTGTACACAACACAGTACCCTGGACCCAGCCCACAAAACCACTTTTTCCTCATGGGCCTCCAGGCCTGTGATGAGAGGGGCTGCCATGAAGGTCTCTGACATGGGCTGGAGACATTTTCCCCATGGTCTTAAGGATTAATATTAGGCTCCTCCCTACTTATGCAAATTTCTGGAACTGGCTTGAATTTCTCCCTAGAAAATGGGTTTTTCTTTTCTATTGCATAGTCAGGCTGCAAATTTTCCAAACTTTTATGCTTTGCTTCCCTTATAAAACTGAAAGCCTTTATCAGCACCCAAGTCACCTCTAGAATGCTTTGCTGCTTAGAAATTTCTTCTGCCAGATACCCTAAATCATCTCTCTCAAGTTCAGAGTTCTACAAATCTCTAGGGCAGGGACAAAATGCCACCAGTCTTTTTGCCAAAATATAACAAGCGTCATCTTTGCTCCAGTTCCCAAGTTCCTCGTCTCTATCTGAGACCACCTCAGCCTGGACTTTATAGTCCATACGGCTATAGGCATTTTGGGCAAAGCCATTCAACAAATCTCTAGAAGTTCCAAAGTTACCCACATTTTCCTGTCTACTTCTGAGCCCTACAAACTGTTCCAAACTCTGCCTGTTACCCAGTTCCAAAGTCGTTTACACATTTTTGGGTTATCTTTTCAGCAACGCCCCACTCTACTGGTACCAATTTACTGTATTAGTTCCTTTTCAGGCTGCCAATAAAGACATACCTAAAACGGGAAAGAAAAAGAGGTTTAATTGGACTTACAGTTCCACATGGCTGGGAAGGCCTCAGAATCACAGCAGGAGGTGAAAGGCACTTCTTACATGGTGGGGGCAAGAGAAAAATGAGAAGCAAAAGCAGAAACGCTGATAAACCCATCAGATCTCATAAGACTCATTCACTATCACAAAAATAGCATGGGGAAGATATGATTCTATTACCTCCCCCTGGGTCCATCTCACAACATGTGGAAATTCTGGGAGATACAATTCAAGTTGAGATTTGGGTGGGGACACAGCCAAACCGTATCAACCAGGTTACTGTTACTACATCAAGTGGTCAGAGAAAGACATCCCGTGACAGGTAGGATCAGCAAAAACCATACTGAAAGGAAAACATGGGATCAAGAAAGGATGAGATTTTGGTAGTTGTTATTAAAACTGTGCCCTGCTCAAGTATGTGCCACCTTTAGAGAACTACTGTGTTAGGATTCTTCATGAGGCTCACAAGAATATAAACTGAGAGTATTAAATCACCATTATGCATTTGGGGCAGGGCTTAAGAGTCACACGAACTAGATGTTATCGTTTTGATCAGAAGCGGTAATTATAACTCCCCTAACCTTTGCATACTTTTAGACATTTTTAAGGCCTTGCTGTAAGTCATAAACATCATAAATATTTTATCATAAAATAGTCTAAAAATACATTATATATAATAAGGTAAAATCATTCATCAGTTTAAAATACCAAAGGCTTTTTAAATGTCTAAATGTTTCTGAAATACTAATTATCAAATATTTAAGAACAAGAGCTTGGTGGGGTGCGTTGGCTTACGCCTGTAATCCCAGCATTTTGGGAGGCCGAGTTGGGCGGATCACCTGAGGTCGGGAGTTTGAGCCCAGCCTGACCAACATGGAGAAACTCCCTCTGTATTAGAAATACAAAATTAGCTGGGCATGGTGACACATGCCTGTAATCCCAACTACTCAGGAGGCCGAGACAGAAGAATCACTTGAAACCGGGAGGTGGAGGTTGTGGTGAGCCAAGATTGTACCACTGCACTTCAGCCTGGGCAACAAGAGCAAAATTCTGTCTCAAAAACAAAAAAGAACAAGAGCTCAGTGATACGTTACAGATAACTGAGTTTTTATTATACATTTGAACATGAACAAAACACAAAGAGCCACCCTCAAATTTAAACATTCTACACACATGTTCCCCAAACAAAAAGTGGGGTGCTATCTTAAAAGTCAGAGACTTAGGGTTTGGAAAATAAAGATTATGACATTTTAAAAATAATACACAATAAACAGTTTTGGAATTTATGAAATTATCGAAATTTCCACCTGGATTTCCATATGTAACCTTATTTCTGCCTGTACACCCACATTCAAACTCTATCTACACCCCACAGGCAGCTCTCGTCTGTGGTTAACAGGTCAGTCATCCCTTTGGATCTTGTAATGTTTTGGTCTACCTTCATCAGTGCTTTTGCCAAACACCAAAGGCCTCTAAAAAACAGGCACGGCTGACTCACTCTCATCTATTTTAAGCCACAGGATCCCAAGAGGACAGAAGACTTTGCCTCCTTGGACCCTATCTCTGTAGTCTACTGTGACACTAATGTTCTCACAACCTTTGTCTCAAGGCCAGTCTCCATAGCCTCTTATCATGGCTCAGTTGATCCAGGGTTTAGTTTTTCCTGACTCTAGATTTAGATCAAGCAATTGTAAAAACCCATGAGGTGGCACCTCATTAACCTAGGATTCTGAGGTCTTTATTTCATGGACTGTGTGACAGCCATCTAGAAGAAAAAACACCATAATATTAGTAGAACTAGCTATTACTGCTTCATAGGAACAAAGCTGCCCAATGATGGAGCCTGAATTTTATATATAATATGAAGTAACTCAGTGATATCTACCTTTCTTTCTTTAAAGATGGTCCCACAGACATGCTCCTCTCAGACTCATTAAAATCCTAAATGTGCAAATACGCTCACATATGTCAACACTGATCCCATTTTTCTTCCCCCAACAGAGCATGTCTTTGAGTTCAGGTCTGTTCTTGCCTTTGCAGATTAGAAAATGGCTTTTGTTTTTTGGGGGCTCTTTTTTGAGATGGAGTTTCACTCTTGTTGCCCAGGCTGCAATGCAATGGCACAATGCTTGGCTCACCAAAACCTCCGCCTCCCAGGTTCAAATTCTCCTGCCTGAGCCTTCTAAGTAGCTGGGATTACAGGCATACGCCACCACACCTGGCTAATTTTGTATTTTTAGTAGAGACAGGGTTTCTCCATGTTGATCAGGCTGGTCTCAAACTCCCCATCTCAGGTGATCCACCCACCTCAGCCTCCCAAAGTGCTGGGATTACAGGCATGAGCCAATGCACCTGGCCTTCTTTGGTTTTTTTTTTTTTTTTTTTTTTTGGCCAAAGAGTGGAAAGAAACCAGAAAGGAAAAACCAACAATATGATTTTTCTATATTTTTAAAAGAATTTTTTCCTGTGAGTCTACATGTGAAAAGTCAACGAATATCAATTCTTCATAAAAGTGACTGAATTACCCAGGGGCAGAGGTTGCAGTGAGATGAGATTAAACCACTGCACTCCAGCCTGGGCGACAAAGACTCCATATCAAAAAAAGAAATAACAATAACAAGTGACTGAATTAAAAGATGAAAACGAAATGTGATAAAATAGGAAAACTTGTTCTTTAATAAGCATGAGATATTCAAGTCCAAATACAATAATAATGAAAATAACAGATTCAACACCACAGTTGTATACACTTCCAGTGAAGCTTTATGAATTCCATTCCGAGCTCCTAGCACCAGGTAAACACGAATCATAGATGGAAATATGACATGTTTAGCACTAGAAGCAGCATCACAGTTTATTAGCAAAATAAAGCAGAATGTGGTCAGGTAAATAAATATTACAACATATAATATACTGGTGATGAAGCTGCAATAAAGTAATATAAGTGAGGTTTACAATTTTTTTCTTTTTTTACTGGGAAGGCTAGTTGTAAACATAAACATACACATTAAACTCCTAGCTCCCCAAAACTTAACCTACATCACAAACAAAAATCACCTTTTAACTATAAAACCATAAAAACTTGTACTCTATGGCTCTTTTGCCTCGGTGGTTTTTCGGAGAAAGAAACGAGCTATGTTAAGTAGTTTCACTGATTTACCCATCTTGAAGAGCTGCCAGTTCTGGAATCTCATTCATCCTCAGAACATCTTCATAGAGCAAATAATTATGTAGGCTTCTGGGAAGTGGCAACTGACTAATAAAACTGTCAGACCGGAGATGTTCTGATTTTAGACTGGACCGAATTTCCAAACGACAAAGATGGGTCAGGGATGGAATAGTGGCTACAGAAACAAAAAAAGCAAGGTGAAAATTTTTTAAACAGAAAGATGTAACAGCACATTAAGGTAAATTCACTTTTTTTCTTTTCCCAACTCTAATAAAAGTGATATGCTGCTTAGAATTACTTTGAAAGAAGACTACTTTGAGTCAGGATGACCACAATAAACCTTATTTATTCTTTTCTACAGCCTTTAACTGGCTTCTCTCCCTTCAGTTGTTGGCCACACATTCAAAGTCAGTATCCAGGGTCACAAACACTAAATGTTTAAATTCTAAATATCTGACAATACCTGCACTTAAGAAACGGATAACTAACTTTAGAAATGGTAGAAGCTCATAGTAGGAAATACTACCTTCCTCTTGGTCTATTTCATTACAAATACTTTCCAGACCTACCACATCAAGTGAATAAATGTGCAGCTTGCAAATTTTCCTTTTAATTCATAACACAGAATTTCTGAATTGGATCTGAGAGAAAGGGAGTATTTATTGAGTGCCTTCTATGCCATAAGCCCATGTACTTCACTCAAATTCTCTTTTTATCTTCATTAACTTCATGAGGTACATATCATCAGGCTATCATAGACATGAAAAAACTTTTTTTAAAAATTGTACTTTAGGTTCTAGGGTACATGTGCAGATTATGCAGGATTGTTGCACAGGTACACACATGGCAATGTGGTTTGCTGCCTCCATCTCACCCCCTGCGTCACGTACATCTGGCATTTCTCCCCGTTATCCCTTCCCAACCTCCCCAACGCCCTGCTGTCCCTCCCTTGGCCCCCCCCAACAGACCCCAGTGTGTGATGCTCCCCTCCCTGTCCATGTGTTCTCATTGTTCATCATGCACCTATGAGTGAGAACATGTGGTATATTTGATTTTCTGTTCTTGTGTCAGTTTGCTGAGAATTATGGTTTCCAGATTCATCCATGTCCCTACAAAGGAAACAAACTCATCATTTTTTATGGCTGCATTGTGTTCCATGGTGTATATGGTGTCACATTTAACCTGTCCAGTCTATCGCTGATGGGCATTTGGGTTGTTTCCAGGTCTTTGCTATTGTAAATAGTGCCGCTATGAATATACGTGTGCATGTGTCTTTATAACAGAATGATTTATAATCCTTTGAATATATACCCAGTAATGGGATTGCTGGGTCAAATGGAATTTCTATTTCTAGGTCCTTGAGGAAGCACCACACTGTCTTCCACAATGATTGAACTAGTTTACACTCCCACCAATAGTGAAGTGTTCCTATTTCTCCACATCCTCTCCAGCATCTGTTGTCTCCAGATTTCTTAATGATCACCATTCTAACTGGAGTGAGGTGGTATCTTAATGTGGTTTTGATTTGCATTTCTCTAATAATCAGTGATGATGAGCATTTTTTCATGTCTGTTGGCCTCGTATGTGTCTTCTTTTGAGAAGTGTCTGTTCATATCCTTCACCCACTTTTAGATAGGTTTGTTTGTTTGTTTTCTTATAAATTTGTTTTAATTCTTTGTAGATTCTGGATATAAGCCCTTTATCAGATGGGTAGACTGAAAAAATTTTTTCCCATTCTGTTGGTTGCTGGTTCATTCTAATGATTGTTTCTTTTGCTGTACAGAAGCTCTGGAGTTTAATTAGGTCCCATTTGTCCATTCTGGCTTTTGCTACCAGTGCTTTTGGTGTTTTGGTCATGAAGTTCTTGCCTATGCCTATGTCCTGAATGGTTTTGCCTAGGTTTTCTTCTAGGGTTTTTATGGTATTAGGTCTTATGTTTAAGTCTTTAATCCATCTGGAGTTAATTTTAGTGTAAGGTGTCAGGAAGGGGTCCAGTTTCTGCTTTCTGCACATGGCTAGCTAGTTTTCCCAACATCATTTGTTAAACAGGGGATCCTTTCCCCATTGCTTATTTTTGTCAGGTCTGTCAAAGATCAGATGGTAATAGACATGTGGTGTTGCCGCCGAGGTCTCTGTTCTGTTGCATTGGTCTGTATCTCTGTTTTGGTATCAGTTATCATGCTGTTTTGATTACTGTAGCCTTGTAGTACAGTTTGAAGTCAGGTAGCATGATGCCTCTGGCTTTGTTCTTTTTGCTTAGGATTGTCTTGGCTATGCAGGCTGTCCTTTGTTTCCGTATGAAGTTTAAGGTGGTTTTTTCCAGTTCTGTGAAGAAAGTCACTGGTAGCTTGATGGGGGTAGCGTTGAATCTATAAATCACTTTGGGCAGTATGGCCATTTTCACAATATTGATTCTTCCTAACCATGAGCATGGAATGTTTCTCCATTTGTTCATGTCCTCTCTTATTTTGCTGAGCAGCGGTTTGTAGTTCTCCTTGAAGAGGTCCTTTACATCCTTTGTTAGTTGTATTCCTAGATATTTTATTATCTTTGTAGCAATTGTGAATGGGAGTTTGCTCATGATTTGCCTCTCTGTTAGTCTGTTATTGGTGTACAGAAATGTTTTTGATTTCTGCACACTGATTTTGTATCCTGAGGGTTTGCTGAAGTTGCTTATCAGTTTCAGGAAATTTTGGACTGAGACGATGGGGTCTTCTAAATATACAATCATGTTGTCTGCAAGTAGAGACAATTTGACTTCCTCCTTTCCTAATTGAATATCATTTATTTCTTTTTATTGGCTGATTGCTCTGGCTTGAACTTCCAATACTATATTGAATAGGAGTGGTGAGAGAGCGTATCCATGTCTAGTGCCAGATTTCAAAGGGAATGCTTCCAGTTTTTGTCCATTCAGTATGATATTGGCTGTAGGTTTTTCATAAATAGCTTTTATTGTTTTGAGATGTGTTCCTTCAATACCTAGTTTATTCAGAGTTTTTAGCATGAGGGGCTGTAGAATTTTGTCAAAAGACTTCGCTGCATCTATTGAGATAATCATGTGGTTTTTGTCTTTGGTTCTGCTTATGTGGTGGATTACATTCATAGACTTGCATATGTTGAATCAGCCTTGCATCCTGAGGATGAAGCCTACTTGATGGTGATGGATAAGCTTTTTGATGTGCTGTTGCCATCGGTTTGCCAGTATTTTATTGAAGATTTTTGCATCTATGTTTATCATGGATATTGGCCTGAAGTTTTCCTTTTTTGTTTAGTCTCTGCCAGATTTTGGTATCAGGATGATGTTGGTCTTATAAAATGATTTGGGAAGGATTCCCTCTTTTTGGATTGTTTGGAATAGTTTCAGAAGGAATGATACCAGCTCCTGTTTGTATGTCTGGTAGAATTCAGCTGTGAACCAGTCTGGACCTGAACTTTTTTTGGTTGGTAGGCTACTAATTGCTGCCTCAACTTCAGCCCTTGTTATTGGTCTATTCAGGGATTCGACTTCTTCCTGGTTTAGGCTTGGGAGAGTGCAAGTGTCCAGGAATTTATCCATTTCTTCCAGGTTTACTGGTTTATGTGCATAAAGTTGTTTGTAGTTATCTCTGATGGTAGTTTGTATTTCTGCGGAAATGGTGGTGATATGCCCTTTATCGTTTTTTATTGCATCTATTTGATTCTTCTCCCTTTTCTTTTTTATTAATCTGGCTAGCAGTCTATTTTGTTGATCTTTTCAAAAAACCAGCTCCTGGATTTATTGATTTTTTTGAAGCATTTTTTGTGTCTCTATCTCTTTCAGTTCTGCTCTGATCTTAGTTATGTCTTGTCTTCTGCTAGCTTTTGAGGTTTTTTGATCTTGCTCCTCTAGCTCTTTCAATTTTGACGATAGGGTGTCAATTTTAGATCTCCTCGATTCTCTTGTGGGCATTTATTGCTATTAACTTCCCTCTACACAGCACTTTAAATGTGTTCCAGAGATTCTGGTATGTTGTGTCTTCATTCTCATTGGTTTCAAAGAACATCTTTATTTCTGCCTTCACTTCATTGTTTATCCAGTCAACATTCAGGAGCCAGTTGTTCAGTTTCCATGAAGCTGTGTGGTTCTGAGTTAGTTTCTTAATTCTGAGTTCTAATTTGATTGCCCTGTGGTCTGAGAGACTGTTTGTTATAATTTCTGTTCTTTTGCATTTGCTGAGTGATTTACTTCTGATTATGTGTTCACTTTTAGAGTAGGTGCAATGCAGTGCTGAGAAGAATGTATATTCTGTGAATTTACAGAGTATACATGGAGAGTCTGTAGATGTCTATCAGGTCTGCTTGGTCCAGATCTGAGTTCAAGTCCTGAATATCCTTGTTAATTTTCTGTCTCGTTGATCTGTCTAATATTGGGAGTGGAGTGTTAAAGTCTCCCACTATTATTGTGTGGGAGTCTAAGTCTCTTTGTAGGTCATTAAGAACTTGCTTTATGTACCTGGGTGCTCCTGTAATGAGTGCGTATGTATTTAGGATCGTTAGCTGTTCTTGATGCACTGATCCTTTTACCATTATGTAATGTCCTTCTTTATCTCTTTTGATCTTTGTTGGTTTAAAGTCTATTTTATCAGAGACTAGGATTGCAACTCCTGCTTTTTTTTTTTTTTTTTGCTCTCCATTTGCTTGACAAATCTTCCTCCATACCTTTATTTTGAGCCTATCCGTGTCCTTGCACGTGAGATGGGTTTCCTGAATACAGCACACCGAAGGGTCTTGACTTTTTATCCAATTTGCCAGTCCGTGTCTTTTGATCGGGACATTTAAAAAGCCCATGTACATTTAAGGTTAATATTGTTATGTGTGAATTTGATCCTGCCATTTTGATGCTAGCTGGATGTTTTGCCCGTTAGTTGATGTATTTGTTTTCATTGTGTTGATGGTCTTTACCATTTGGTACATTTTTGGAGTGGCTGGTACTGGTTGATCCTTTCCTTGTTTAGTGCTTTCTTCAGGAGCTCTTATAAGGCAGGCCTGGTGGTGATGAAATCTCTCAGCAATTGAAAAAACAACTTTCTAAAGTCACAGAGCTAGTAAAAAGCACAGCCAGGATTCAAACTGAATCTTGAAGACTGTGTGCGTGTGCGTGTGCGTGTGCGTGTGCGTGTGCGTGTGCGTGTGTGTGTGTGTGTGTGTGTATCTGGC